ATGGAATAGTTCTGAATTTGTTTCAATCTTCAGCGATGAAATTTTCGTTACGATTTTCGTTGCAACTTGGTTGCTTGAGTAAAGCTAAAAACAATTGTTCAAGTTGAGAGTAGAAACGAAAAATAACGCGAATCATTTTTTCGTTTACAACAAAATTCTCATTTGAACAGATTTGCTTGCATCTTTCCCTTTAACTGACAATCAAGATCTTTTTCATTTTCTTCCTTCTCCTGTAAAACATGATTAAATATATATCATGTCAGTAAATAGTCTGTAAAATCATCTCTCGACTTGTATCAGTATCCATTGTTGAAGTAATGTTGACTTTTCCCTGAGCTTCTTTGGCTCCTTCATCCTTCCCTGTCTCACAACATTTCCAACTCCCAGTCAGTTATCACTCCCAGCAAGTTACATAAATGATAAAATGTTGAATCGATAGCGACTTTGCCAAGAAACTTTTTGTTTCTTTGGATTCTTTTTCTTGTTGTTTTTTCACTGTTTGTTTCAAAAGCAAATGTAAATAGATGATGACCATTGAAAGGCATCGAGAATCCTAAGTACACTTAACAAGGAACAAAAAAAAAGGTTGAAAGAAGATGAAGAAAGATAGAAACAAAAATAGAACAAGAAACGAACAGAATTTTCATTCAAGGTAATTGTTCATCTTTTCATCATCAGAATCATCATTTCAGGGTATTTTTCCCATTTTCCTTGCTTCTTTTTTTCTCTCTTCTTCTGTTTTCATGTTGTTCTTTTTTTCATTGCAAATAAAATGTCATCTACAGAATCATTCAAAGAGTGATTAGATGAGCAACTTGCAAGAATTGATCCAACAAGAGATCGTTATTCATCATCAATAATGTTCAATTGAACCTCAGTTCATCTGAATCTTAACGATGAAAAACAAAGAAAAGCAAACAAAAAAGTAAATATTTTGTCGATTCGATCAGCCATTTATAACTCGAATCGACGTTTAATTTCAAATGAACCTTTCATTGACTTGAAACTCAAACTCGAAATTCATTAATCAAATGATGTTTTAATTGATTTTCAAATTAACTCTCATGAGAAATCGAAAGCTTCAAATCTGAATTGATAATAATTGGATTAGTTTCCTCATTTCAGTGATTATTGAATTAAATTTATCCTTCGATTGCTTTTTAATCATTTATTGCAACTGAGAATAATGTCAATTTTTTATCGACAATTTACTAATTGCAACATTGACTTGATGGAAACCGTTTAATCATTTGTTGGAAAACTTTGCAAGAAGTTTTGTTTGTTGAATCAAAACTCGATTGGTTTGTCTGTCATAACTCATTGTAATCACTTCAAGCTGTTAACTTCAATTGTTACATTAAATGATTGAAATTGTAAATGAAACACACATTGATTATCTGCTCAATTTAATCCATTCAGAAGGAATCATTTCTGAACTTGTGTTTTCATTGATCACAGTGATTTGGATAACAATCATTTTGTAACAATTCCCATGAAAATAACCATTAAATAAGTCGACAATTAAATTCACTTTTCCTTTTCTTCTTGTAACAAGTTCTTTGTTTTAAATGAACAATTTGAATAACTAATTAAATTTAAACTCATTAATGATTTTATGGTAAAGCTTCAAGTATTAACTCAATATTTGATTCACTAATTTGTTTTAATTGTCTGAAACTTGAAGGTTCAACTTAAGGCGATGAAAAGACAAAATATTAAAATGAAAACAATCTTTGCTTTAAATCGATATTTTCATCTTTTCTGTTGCTCTTTCACTTTTTTCTGGTCAAAAGTAATTCATATTTTGATTTAAACTCAGACTTTGAAAGTTAAGTTGATCCAAGTAAATATGAAATTGACAATTCAAAAGAACTCTAGATTTTAGTATTTGTTCATCCAAGTTTCCCTTTATTCTGATCAAATCAGGGTAAAGTTGAGGCTTCATTTAAATTCACTGTTGACTAATTTGTAATTTAATTGACAAACTAGTGACTTATCCAGGGAATGGAAAGTATTCACAAAAAATGCTAAAATCCAAGCTTATTGAGGTTGAGCAAAATATTCATTTTCCTTGCCAATGATATAAATATTAAGTTTGAGATTCAACTGAAAGGGAATCAGTTTAATATCAATTATTTAGTTTATTGGTTTGATTAAATTGAACCTCGATTCAGAAAAAAGAGCTTTTCCAATGCAAACTTAAAGTCGAAATGAAACTTGAATTGTTCATAATTTCTGATGAAATGAATTAATAGTTGAAGTAAAAGTTGGAAATTAAAATATCATAATTTGTTTGTTTCCTTTGTAACAGTTTCTCTTCTTATAACCATTAGACTTTGAAATTTTCAATATCAACAGAAGATAGAAAAAGCTGATAAAATTGAATGAACTTTCAATGTTAATAAAGATTAATTGATGAAACATCGATCTTGGAAAAAATGGATTCAAAAGCTCCGAAATTTCCATGATATTCAGCTTGAACATTTTCTTAGAGAAAAAGAGAAAAATGAAAATTTTCTTTTCCATTTTCTACTTTTGATTCTTTGATTTTTTAACAATCAAATAATCGGCAGATTCGGTGCTGTCAATAATACAAAGTAAATTCAGTGAAACAAACTTGCAATTGACAAATGGAATGAGTTTAATCAATTGACTTTATCCTTTTGGTTATAGCCTTGAGCTGGTTCCAAGCTAAGAAGATATCAAATGAAGTTGAAAGAAGAAGAAGAAGAAGACAAAAAAATTAAACAATCAGCCAATTCATTCTATTCTTAGTTTCAAACCATAATTCAGCTTCTTAATGAATATCTTTTTTTGTTGGAACAAAAGTAAAGACAGAAAATTATCTGATTAAAGACACAAAAGATGATGAGTTTATAAGCTGAGATGACAAAGCAAATAAGATTGCTATTGTTGACCCGAACTTTCCATTTCATTTACACTTCAACTTTCCTCATGACTATTCAGAGTCCATTTTTTCTTCTCTTGTCGCTTCTTCAGTTTCATTCATTCTTCTCATATCTAAATATCTTTCATTTTACTTGACAATAATCATTATCTCCATCAAAGTCACATGGAATCATCAGTTGAAATGATCAATTTGATAAGCTAACATGATATCCATCCAAACAAAATTGAACAAAATAATCATTTCTTTGCATCAGATAATTTCCAACACAATCCTCTGAAGGTAACATTGGGACTCATCTTTTTTCCCATTCCAGCCTTCTTTAGCCTAAAGGTTAACATTGAAATTTATCATGTTTCGTCATGTTTATCAAACATCATAACTTGTAATATTAAAATGAGATCAACAATAACGAGAAAATATATCAACAGAGAAAAGGTTTTTGCCTTTAACATTAAAGTCAATTTTCAGTCTTTTGCTCATTTCCATTCATTAATTTGTTCAATTTATTTTGGAAAAATTAATTTCCAAATTAAATTGGAAAAATCTTGAGAATTAAAATTGGAGCAGAAATGGCAATTAAATGTCTAATGATATTGCAATTGATTCAATTGTAAGTCGAGTTTTGAATTAATTTTGAGAAATGTTTTTGTTTTAGTTGAATGTTTGCTATTCATTGAGAAACAATTTCATAAAGAAACTAAATTATGCCGTTTAAAAGGGAATGTGATTTGAAAATTTAAATTCAATCTTTTTTTTCTGTTGCTTGTAAAAGGTTCAAATTTTGTTTCAAATGAACATTATTAAAGAATTATCATGAACCATTTCATGGTGAATTTACTTTCAACTTTCGGTGTCCATTATTGTTCAGTATATTGAGGTGAAGTTATTGTTCAGTAAATGTTATTACCTTAAGGTTATGTTTAGCTGGGTTTACAACTTGCAACTCGTTTTTTTCTGGTTTCTATTTTTTTCGATATTTGATTAAATTTTAGGGTTAACTTTAAGTTTGGGACACTTTTATTGTGATCAATTGAGAATGAAAAAGTTGAATTATACAATTGCAGTTTATTCAGGTTGACAAATTAAATTAAATTGTTCACAGTTGAATTATGAATTTCATTGAATTCCAGGCAAAAGAATAAAGTTAATTTGATGATTTCAAACGAGAAAAAAACTTATCAACTGGAAACTTCGACTCAAAAACCTAAACAGTTTAACAATTATTGTCAACGTTTATTTATTTCCACCAAAAACTAAATAATCAATCGATCATTTGAAAAGGTTCACTAATAAAGTCAAATAAAGTATCAAATTTTATTGTCAAAATTGACGAAAAAATCATCTTAAACCTCAGCTCACCATTCAGATCTTTGAGAAATTCATGAAAATGGAAGCTGCAGGGAAAAATGCAGAATCCGTATTCAGTAACATTGAGTGAAGGAAGAAAATTTTTGTTATTCGGGTTTATGGTTCATTGTTGGACCAGGATTTAATGTAAAACATTGTCTTTCGAGTAAAGAGTTTGGTTAAAAAATCTGGTGCCTCAACTGTTCAAAAGGATCTCTTAGTTTCAATTTTGAACTCGAAGACTGACTTTTTAGGAACTTTTTAATTCAACAAATGGACTCACTTTTATGCCCCTGCAATGAAAAAATGTCAACCTTCAACTCAAACCAAAAAAATTTACGTTTGCTTTTTATCCCAAAATGAATATCTTTAAAGTGGCTAAAGCTAATGGATGAGATTTTAATTTTAGGATTTTCCATCAGACGATGATTTTTATCAAGAATTCAGGTCTTTTCGAATTGATTGTACCTCACTCCGTGATTAAGATCAGTTATTTTTGCTTAAAAATGTTATTTAAGCGAAAAGGATTCTCAAAGAACCTAAAATGAACATTTGAACCAAAGAGTTGGCAGATTAAATTAAAGACTTTACTTGAAATTTTAATGAATTTCCCTTAAATTTCTAAGCTAATTTTTCTTATTCTTTCGACTTTCTATTCCTTAATTTTGATCGAAATTGAAATTTGAATATTTTTTCTTTTTCTTTTGATTCTAATTTTGTTTTCCTTCTTTCAATTGTAAAGGTTGTCAAAATGTTGGTGGTAATTGTTGCCGTTTTTGCGACCCTTTGGCTTCCTTATCGAGCTCTTTTGGTTTACAATTCAATGACTGATGATCGTTATATGGAGCTTTGGTATTTGATGTTTTGTAAGACAATGATATTTGTTAATAGTGCAATCAATCCAATCCTGTATAATGCACTTTCCGTCAAATTCCGGCGAGCCTTTAAACGTATGCTTTCTTGTGAGACCAGGAAAAGACGACGGCACTTTGATGTACCTTTAGCTTCGATTCACGTTTCCCTTGGTAACTCAATAAGAAACAATAATGTACAAAGTAATACATTTGCCATTAATAATATAACCAACAGCAACAACAATAATAATAATATAAATAATGCCAATGGTAATGGGACAAGTAACAACAACAATGATAATGAAAATGAAACTAATAATGTTAATAATGTTAATAATAGTAATGTTGATCACAGTTTTAATAGTAATCATGTTCACTCAGGGAGTAAACAAGGTAAAACCACAACAGCGTCAACAGCTAATCAAATCAACTCATCAAATGGACCTAAAATATTGAGATTTACAGTTCAACGTTCATCTGACCATTGTAAGCAAGCAATTGAAGCTCTTTGATGGACACCAACATTATTGATATACAAAAAGATGTCTTCGTTTCTTTTTTCAACATTTTTCTTGTTTCACTCCTTCTTTACCCATTATCTTGATCCATCAACAATTACCAGTTCATTCATTAATTTTTTGTCTTCTCTCATCATCTTTTCATTTTCTCATTATCAACACAATTGAAGGTAATTCAAAGTGATGATAATGAGACAATGCTTGGATGATTGATGAACTTTTGATAATATTAATGATAAAAGATGGAACAAGGCGAAAATGAAGGAAAAAACAGGAAAAAAAGACAATCTTAAGATTATTGTAACTCAAGATTCGTCTTTTCTTCTCTGAGCTACAAAATTAAAAACACTTATTACTATTATTATCACTTCTGTTGACGCTATTGTTGATGCGCTCATTGATGTCCAAATTAAATGTAATTAACTTTTTGAAAATGAAGTAAAGATTGTTTGAGAATTGCATTTGACTGAATTACATCCATTGGTTATCCAAGGAATCAAAGTGAATGACCAAAAACAGGTAGCTTGGTGGCAGAATGCAGGTTTTATCATCAATCAATCGGAAATTGGATAAACAGGAGAAGACAAGAAATGCTTTGAATCCATTGCAAACCAAATCTAGTCCAAACAATAACAATAATAATAAATCAAATCAAATGTTGACTTTTCCCTTTTGCTTTTTTGTTGCCTTTTTTCATTCCTTGTCCATTTAAACCAATCCTTTTGAGTCATTTTTTGCCTTCTTTTTGGTCCAGCTTTTAATCTAAATCAAATTCAGCTCAATAAACAAATCTAAATTGAGAGATGAAGAGAAATGAAAAAGAAAAGGTTAATTTTAATTTATGAAAGTAAAATGGAGAACAAGAATGAAACTGAAAAAATTATCAACTCACCGAGAAACATTAAAGGTAAAATGTGTGTAAATGTGCTTTAAAAAAAGAAAGGAAAAGGTGAAAATGTAATTTTCAGGTTGAAAATTTTATTACGACTTTCATGTTGATTCATGTTGCCTTCAGATTCAACGTTGTACATTAAATAAAGATTATAATGACACACCAATAAAGGAACTAAAATTAGATTGATTTGTACCAGATAATCACATTAACAATAAGATATGTGTGTGTGTGTTTAGTTGAATAGCATTTCTTTAGCAATTCCAGAGAATCCATTTTATATTCAGAATTTTCTTTTCCTTTTTTCTCCATTTCAAGTCTTTTGCCTTTCAAGATTTCCAATCATAACTTTCTCCATGCTTTGGGCCTTAGCTTTTTATAATAATGGTTGTGGCAATAATAATGGCAATAATAATGTTTCCAACAACAACAACAGGAAAAACAGCAACAAAATGGGTTAACCTTGATGATTGGTTCAGTCCGTGTTTCAGATTCAATTACATTTTCAGATAATGGTGAGAGGAAGAAAAGCAAATCAAGAAATATGTACTTTACTATTTAGAATTGAAAACTGTATTAAACTGAAATTTAAAAAGTGTTTCCCAAATGTCAATATAAGAGAGTTTTGGCTTATTCCAATATTTTTTTGTCTTTGGGATTTTGTGAAGAAATTTTTGTTCCTTTCCTTCCATGTTCAATCAAGTTGGATTTCAGGTTTACATTTCATTGTTTAATTTGGTTTGTCTTTTGGCTTGACTTTGGTTTGAACCCATTTCCAACTTAATAGCGTCTGAATTTTTCATTTTCACAGGAAAAATGATAAGGTAAAGAGAAGAAGAAGAAGAAGAAAAATAAATAAATAAATAATGTCAGAAGCTGGAAAGATATCAACTGGTAAATGATAATGTTGATTGTAGTAATAGTGTTACTTTGATGATTGAAAATGAACATTTTGACATTTCATTTCCTTTCAGTTTCTTTCAAGTTTAAACTTCAAAATTTTGACCTCAAATGAGATTGAGATCAAATTAACAATATTATTATCAACATTTTACAATTTAAAATGAAAATAAATATCAGTTTTATTTCCATTTTTAGCATTTTCTTGATGCCTTTTTGACAAGGATTGCCATGAATATGACTTTGTAATTTATAAAGCTTTTTTGCTCATGGAAAGTGTTCAATTCTTGGTAATCTCAACCATTAATCAAAATAGAAAATGAATAACAGAGAAATTCAATTTCAATGTAATCAGTTTCATCAAATGATTTAAATGATGGATAAGATCACAGGAAAGAAAATGGGTTTAACCTGGAAATTGATTTACCTATCTGAAAATATTGGTAATCTTGACTCCGTTGTTCGTGATAATGAATCCCTTTGCTGTTGAAATGAAAATAACAAAACATTAAAAAATAATTAATTGAAAAGGTTAAACATAGCGACAGAATAAATTATAAACTTTAAACTTGGTTTAAGCTTAACTGTTAAGGGTTTGGCAATTAGGTAATCAATCAAGATAATTAGCATGATTTATATGAGATATTAATGAGAGTGGAATAGGATTAAGCGAGAAAAATAATGAAACTTTGATTCGTTGAGTTGCTTCATTTTATGGTATTACTTAGGCTTGGGTTAAGAGCGGATCTACACGTGGTTAATTTATTAATTTATTCAGTGTTCATTTCAGGGAATAATGTTGTGATATGAAAGTTACATGAAATACTTACAGAATCATCCGAGTGAAGGAATCCTTCTGCTCGTCTGTAAACAACATTTCGTTGATATGGACTGGAATCGGAGAGAAGCTTGAAATAGAAGAAGAAAAATATTAATCAAACGTTGAGAGATTAAAGCAAGGCAAGGTAATCAATAAGGGAAAAGTAAATCAAAAATGAGGATAAAATAATTTCACCAGAAGATTATAATGACATGGAAAGAATCGAGTATTAATTGTCAGATTATTCTGTTCACTGTGAATCTTGGAGTTTGCTGGCGATAATTAATCCATTTTAATTGTTGAATAGCATTAAGAAAAAGCTGAAGATTAAAAAGTAAGCTTTTGATTCAATTTTAGGCAGTAATTGGGAAAAATTGAATCATTTTGTATCATTTGATAATGGGTTTGGACAGAAGTCGTTGGAGTCAATATTTATGTTTCAACAATTTCTGAATGGAAAATGGAAATCAGTTGAAATCTTTTTCCATTCAGAATTAATTTCTTGCCGTTAGCTAATTTCATTTCTGACTAGACTCTTGATTTTAAACCTTTTTTCAGATGAAATTCAATTTAAAAGCAAATATCAAAAAGCACTTGGAAAATATTCAAATCAAGATTGGGTTAACTGGTCATGGACAAGCTAATATGTATTTGTGAGGAAAGGAAAGATTTGAGAGATTTTTTAGAGAAATTTGAAATTTCGATTGAAACTTGATTTAATCTTGGATTGTTTCAAGTCCAAACATGATTAAAATGATGGATGATGAATGAGTTTTCCTAATATTGAAAGGATTCTCTCAGCGATTGATTTAAACTTTATTTTCCATCATGCATATTGGTCTAAATATAATGAAACTTTCAACGTTTAATCATTAATTTAAGTGACTTTGGGTTGGTTTTTTGTTCTGATACAATTTATCTCTGAAAAGGTTATTAAGGCAAACAAAAGGTGACCGTTGATTATATTAAAAGTTTGAGTTAATAACATTCATCTTCAACAATACCCTTGAGTTTGATCATAAATGATGCTTTATAAAGGTTACAAAGAAATTAAAGTTTCCCTAATTTGAATGTTGATCATTTAACTTTACCATTACATAAAGAAGGCAAAAGGCAATTCAACATGTTCAACTAAATATTGCAGCTTGATTCAAATTGTAATCATCACTCTCCATTATCATCTCTCAACATTTCAATGGCAACACTGGACAAGAGTAAACTCGTTTGTTTCAGCAATTAAAAATGAATGCTTAAATGATGTCCATGACTAGTTAAACATTAATCTGGTTAACCATAAAAAATACAGTTTTGATTGTCCAAGTAACACCATTTTATGCAAATTGATGAGCTACAAAATGAGCAAAGATGAACTGAAATTTGTTCATCAAAATCCTCAGACAGTTGAATCGGTTGAACCAGAACCAGACATTAGATAATTAAAAATATTAAACTGAAAATCAACAAAACATAAAATTTTCTAATCAAACAGATATCAAGAGATTATTCAGAATCCAAAATAAATAATCTGCTTCAATGATTAGCAAAATAAATATTTGAATGAAGCAAACCAATATTTTCAGCATTAAATTGGTATTAATTCCAGTTTCTGGTTTAATTTGATCGAGTTTAATATTCAATTCTGATGGCATAATAATTTTGGGTTTTCAAACTAATCATTTGGTTAAACAGATTTGAAAATTATTATCGGCAAAATATTCAAATTGAATGAATTTACGTTACAAGGGATGAAATTATGAGCTGAAAAGGACTTTTCTTCAAGATAATTGTCAAGAATCTGGTAAAAATAATAAATTTTAGGTGAAATGAAGGCAGTGAAATACAAATGAACAATGAATTTGAAAATAACATTGAAATGGTCAAAAGATTTGGGTTTGAAAAGAGCTGACTTGCAACCCAAACCTTTGAATGTTGACAACAATGAAAATATATTTAATTTCAATGGCAAAAATGGTTGTTTTCATGTTTGGGTTTTTGTCTATGTTGGATACATTGGGATGCTAAAATCACTGTTTACTTGGAAATTTAATTCCTTTATTTATAACCCTTTTTTCAGTGTGTTTATTGTTGAGTTTTGCTTGCTTTTTGTAATACTTTGTTTATCAATGAGTTAGTATATCGTCAGAATAAAATTGAAGAGTCATGTTGTTATATATCAATTGAAAGGTAAACATTGAAACATTTTCTGGTTCAAAGAAAAGGTTGAATGAATGTGAGAAAATAAAGACTCAGATTATACACTTTCATCTGTAATGATCAGGTAAGTAAATTAACTTGAAACAAATAGCTAATTGACACCCTTTCAATGATTCAAATACACAGAAATGGGTACAACTTGAGATGACTTCAATTGCTATTTAACAGTTATTATTTGATTTATAAACTTATTGAAAAGCTTTTCTTAAAACATAAAGATGGGTTAAAGAAGAGGCCAAGATTAATCAAGATACATTGTAAATGTGATTGTCTGGATATAAATAAGGATGACAAAATTAACGGCAAATCAATTTTACAGCCCATTTGATACCAATAGAATCCTTTACAATGTATTACATTTGGAACAATCACAATTTACTTTTTACAATCATTTAGATCAATAATGTATTTGATGATATTATTATGCCATGAAAATAAAAGTAGATCAGATGCTAAGTAAATGTTAAATGTTAACCTTAAAGATGAACCTTCTGGGTATATGTTGACCCTTTTAATACTTATATCAACATATGGTTAACGACTTGCTGTATTGTCTATAAAATGGGTAAATATTTAGTAAATACTTGGTAAAGTATTAGTAAAGGCATCACAATTATATTAAAATTTGAACATGATAGGAATTGAGGCAACATGACATAGGAAGAGCTGAAGAGATTAAAAGAGACACTAGAAAAATGGTTAATATTTAATGGTTATGTTTCATTTTAAGAGGATTGGACAGATTAGTAAATTAACTGTTCATCAAATCACAACGGTAAACTCATTAAAGATAATGTGATCATCAATTTAAAATTTTACCAGAACGTAGTAGTTGATATATATAAGGAATAACAGAAAGAACTTGAATTTTTTTTGTTTTCCTGGTTGTTATGGGTCACACTGGGTAAAATGAGGGAAGTTTGATTTTTGATCGTTTGCCTTGATTTACATGTAAAATGGTTGGTTAATAAAAGGAGTAAATAATCAAGACTTACCCCAGCACAATTCTGGTTTATAAAGATTCCAAGTTAATTGAATAAGGCCGCAAACAAATGAAGATAATTATCAAAAGTTAATTTACATCACCATAGACACATGCATTGTGTAGACAATAAACTCACCCTTGGATCCATCTGTGAACAAGTATGGAAAGACCAGAAGTTAACCAGAAAAATAATTTATTTGGTTATCATTGCATAATTATATTAATTAATTCACAAAATCAGATTAAAGGTTGAATGTTTATTTGATTATGATTAATGACCGTAAATAAGATTGTTATGCTTAATAAACAACGAAAAACTTGACTTTTCTCTTTCATATCTGGTACCAGTATCCAGTCTTTGGTCCAGACCAAATGGATACCGATATAAGATATTGGAAATTGGAAATTTCTATCAACAATATAATTATTTGTTTTTTTATTAAAGTGATTAACTTACCCTGCACATCTATTTCCAATTGTTTAGTTTGATTTTTAATGATTGTGAAGAATTGAATTCAAATAAGATATTAGTGATGTACACCTGAATTGGAAAATAAAGTTCACCCAACTATACTTACCATCTACAGGAAACAAAGTGTATACATGGAAAGGAATGTGATTTAATCAAAACCAAAGATTATCAATTTGTTGAAACTTGTGTGACCAATATTGACTTACCTTTCGTCCAAGATTAATCTAAATTTTGGTTTTGAAATGGAGAAACGGAAAAATGGAAAATTTACAATTTTAATCTCTTTCTGGTCATTTCTCAATGGACTGTCCCAAATCTGGTCAAGTGACTAGTTTCACGGTCGCTGGTTTTCAATCATGTGATGCAAAAAAGTTAAATCTCTGTTAGTGCTGCCATACTGGATTTTTGAGCCATACATATTTGGGAATCATCCTCCCGGGCAAAAGAGGGTTGACCTCGAGCAGTTTGATCCCTCGCAAACCTAGACAAAGACCTCTGTTCAACTTTTAATTAACTCTTCTTTTCGTGAGATGGCGACTAAATTCGACTGGTTTTTTCAATGGGTTTTCTTGATGCTATTTTTCTGGTTAAAAATGGCTTCTTTTTAATCCTCTTGGTAAACAAGTGTTCAAGATTCTATCAAAATGGCAGTTCAACTTTCACATATCTGACCTCTTGAAGATAGACCTACTCGACCAGATCTAGAAAAGTCAACCAGCAAAAAAGGGATAAACTATACTGACCCCTCGTTTGTCATCTAATTTATTTAATAAATCCATTGGCGTTCCTCCTAACTCTTTGTACAATTTCCACTCATTTGCATCTATTAAATATTTTTCCAACAGATTTTAGATTAAGATACGGAATTTCGAAATAATGAATTTGGTACTCACCTTGATCGCAATTAACTTCTAGCAATAGGCAAAAAAGGGTCACATAAAGACAAAGATGAATGGAAAAGATTTGACTTAAAATCGCATTCAAATTCATGGTGTAGATGAACAATTTTTAAGATAACAACGGAAATCAAGTGTGGAAAAATTTAGGATTCACTTCGAGAAACAAAGGCTAAAATAATCAGTTGGGTTAAAAACTATCAAACGTTGGTAATCGCAAAAGGGTCACAATTCAGATAGCAAAGTATAAAACAATTGGACTTATATTTGCACAAGTATCGGTTAACTATTGGTCTAACAATGATTGGTTATGATTTGTGACTTCAATTCAGCGGAAAGACCAGTTTTGATTTCTTTACTGCACATACAAAAACATGATACAATCAAACCATGATTCCTTTTCAGATTTAATTCCTAACCTGATATTAGTTACCCATTATTTTATTTCTCCTTTTTTCAAACGTCAATGATCCAGTTTTTAACCTCTGTTGAATATTATCTGTCCAATTGTTTTTTGGGTAAATATTAATAACAATAACAACGATACCAGAAAATGGTTTGTACCGATAAGAAGAGTTCTGTTCAAGTTCAAAGGGGAAAGATGAAACCTAATCAAACTCGAAACAGGTTTAAAGTTACTAACCAATCTTAAAACCAATCTAAGCGAAGATATCGCTATTCTTTTTTATCTATTATTATCATCAGAACAATTGATTGAAATTCGATTAGATTGATGTATTTTGTTTTTCTCAATCAAGGGCTAGTTTTGTGCAATGGAAAAAAATTGAATGCCATTTTCTTTAGGCTGGCCAATTATTATTTTTAATAGGTTTGGTTAAATTGAATTAGGCACCAAAAAATTCGATATCCAATGTTTCAAATAATGCTACATCTCACATTTTCGCGCTCCCTAAGAAGATTAACCTTTCTTCTATGTGCTTCCCGCCATCTCTCCCAGTCTCTTCATTTATCTTCACAACTTGGCTCACTTCAGCTGATTCACTAGTTAAGTTGAGCCAGCAGTGGAAAGATAACATTTCTCTCTCTCTCTTCTTCTCTTTAGTTTTGCCTTTGTTTTTCTTTTCATTTTTTTTCATTTCTTGTTCTCTGTTAATTTAGTTTTTAATAAAGATTGAGTGTGTTTCATTTACACCAAGCTAATTTTTTTTACTCCATATTTGCTGCAAATAACCTTATTTGCCAGTGCAGTAGAATCATGGAGAACCAAGATGGATTTTTAACACCCAATTGTGCCCAATCTTCCCGCCGAGTTCGCCCTTCACCTTTACCACAATTAAATATGAGTGATCCTGCTGAAATGTGGGAATCAATGATCACATCAGATGAAAATTATCACCGTGATCCTCACATGCTTTCCAAACATCCGCATATCACACCTCGAATGAGATCAATTTTATTGGACTGGTTAAGTGAAGTTAGTGAATTGTTCAAGCTTCATCGGGAAACGTACTATTTTGCCCTTGACTTTGTTGATCGTTATTTATCTGTTACAAAAGATATTCCCAGGCAGCAATTGCAACTGATTGGAATAACCTGCCTTTTTATCGCGGCCAAAATTGAAGAAGTTTATCCGCCGCCTGTGTCAAATTGTTTCGAAGTTACCGATGATGCCTGCTTAGTAGAGGAAATTATCGCCAAAGAACTAGTCATCATGGAGAGTCTTAAATGGAACTTACATCCAATTACAGTCAACAAATGGCTTTCCATTTTTATGCAAATTTACTCCATTTTGGAGAAAGAAAACAATGTCGATCCTCAATCTTTATCTACTGGAGAAAAATTCTTGATGCCCAACTACAGTGGAACATTTTTTTCTCAAGTCGCTCATTTAGTGGATCTGTGCATGTTGGACTTTGGTTCTCTACAATTCAATTATGATGTTATTGCTGCCTCAGCTTTTTATCATTTCACAAATGAACACACTGTCTACTCTTGTACAAGTAAGCACCCCCTTCTTTTAAAAATCATATTGAACAAAAATCCTTTGTTTCGTAGAGCGGGCTCCCTCTGCATCAAGATTCACCTAGAATTTTTCGCTAATAGCTATTTTTGCTTTTCTCAGGATTTAAGTATTCCGATATAAGGGAATGTGTAATATGGATGACGCCATTTGCATTAGCAGTTCGCGAAACCGGATTTACAGAGCCTAAGGTGCAAGTTGAACATCCATTTTGGTCCAACATGAAATACCATACAGCTGATTTAACATTATTGGTAATTACCAGATTTATTATATCTATTATATTCTGTCACTATCTATTCGCTCCATATTATTGCCTCCATTTATCTTACCGCTCATATTAATCTTGTCTTTGTTTACTCAATTAATAGGAGCGAGCGCATACGAAACAAGTAGATCTGGCTGAAGAAGCTAGTTCAGAGTCATCATCATCAATGCCTCCTTCACCAGTTACTAGCAGTCCATACGCTCAGTCCAAAATAGGTCAAAAAAGGAAGCGAGAGACCTCACCGACAATAAGAGTGCCATCATCTCCTAAAACTGCATCTTCAATTTCTTCATCTTCATCACCAACACCATCAACATCGTCTACATTGACGCCATCCTCTGTTTATAACAAACAGAACATTGGTTCAAATAAAAGAAAACGAGATCTCAACAATAACAGAAGCAACTATGATGATACTGATGATAGCAATTGTGGGAACGAGAAAGAAGTTCATTCTAGAGGCAATGTTAAGCGATGTAATAAGAAAAGAAGATCCATTTCACCATCTAAAAGCAGTTTTTAAAACCAATCGCTTTCTAAGCCACTATTAAAAACTTTTATGCATCCATCATCAAGTGAATGGGAAAGCTTGGAAATTCAGGCTTTCTTGCTTGTATCCATTCCTTATTTATACAACTCTAATATCCCCAGGTTTTCGCTTTAATAGCCAACTGGAATTACGGGATATTATAAATGCGTTTTTCATTTTTATTGTGCAAGTATGAGATCAACTTTTGACGATTCCATACCCTAGCAAAAACGTACTACATCAATCAATTGTACTAATCTTTCGATACGAACATGTTTCATTTTTTTATAAACTTCGGTTTATTCTTCGACTAATTCTAATTAAATTGTTTGTAGACTCTGTGATTTTGATCAAGTCAAATCTTAAACTTAATCATCAATGGACCAATCAATCATGAAATCAATCCACAACCGAAACCTATTTAATTACAATTATTAATTAAAGATCTTCCAAATGGATTTTCAATGTTTCTTCTTATTTAAAAATTATCAACAATTACATGAAAAAATATAAAATATTTACAACACAGCAACATGTCTTGATTAAACATTTCGCTGTCTCTCCGATTTTTCGCGCTCCTTCATTAATCTGACTTTTCTTCTATGTTCTTCCCTCCACTTTTTTTCGGCCTCTTCATCATAATCTTCCATTATTTCCACTAAATCTTTCTTCTCTTCAGTTAGTTCATTGGTGAATTTGAGCCAATTTTGTATAGCTTCTATTTCCTTTTCAATCTCTTTCTTTCTATCTTGACAATATTGAATCCTTCGATCAGCAATTTCAACTGCTTGAGAAACTGATCTATCAACAAACCAATTATCACCCAAAGAAACCATCACTTGGTTAGTATGATCAAGATAACCTGGCATAAAAGCAATGGGCGCATCTTCCCTCCTCATATTATGACAAATAGGCGCCATGACTGGATGACAAAGCTTTTTCACCAACATTTCCATGTTACTTTTTAAAGTCTCATATTCATTGATTATCGTGTCATATGAAGCTAACTTGACTTTGGCCATTTCTAAAGCCTAGTTAAGGAGGGAAAATAGAAAGCGACAGAAAAAAATGTTTATTTAAAAAACACAATAGCCAAAGCGGGAGAAATGGGAGGGAAAAATTATATAATTTGAGGTCGATGCGGCAAATTCATCAATGTAAGGAGTGAAAACAGCAAGGTGAAAATAGACTCACAGAGGCGACATCCCTATTTATAAAAAAGCAATAACAATTTTGAAATGACAATAAACAGTTTCACTCACCATTTGTTGGTTAACTTTTAATTTATCCAAAGAAAATTGTGATTCCATTTTGAGATTATTTTTAATTAATTAATAATTGAAACAAAACAATGCAACACACAAATTAGACAATATCTATCAGCTGTTTTCAAGAATAAATTGTCAGTTTTTAAAGTGTTTTAGTTTTTCCCCAGGTGGCGCTAAATTTTGGGTTTTTGGTTCAATTTTGTAACAAAATTTTCTCAAAGAACGAGCTTTGTCATTGACAGTTCAAAATATCAGAAAACTAAATCAAGTTATTCCGAGCTGAATAATATGCAGAATACATTAGATTTTTTTCGAGATTCATATGCAAGAATTGAAAATCACCATTTATTCTTCACACTTAAACGGGTGTTTATTCGGGTTGGAATAAAAAGAAAATAATTGAAAATTAAGAAAGAGTTTTACAAATTTTGTTCATGTTTTTGATTAAAAACTAAACAACTTGGATAATGATTATTGATGGATTTCATGATTTTTAAAAAGTTATTGAGAAGGTATTGCTTGGTTCACACTGCAAAGGCTAATTGATTAAAATAGGAAACTCAGTAAATTGGAAGAGTAACACAAATTATTGATTGTTATATGCATAAAACGATGTCGTCAATCGTTTTGTTTGGCCGAAAAACAATCATAAATGATGGATGAACAAGTTGTTTTTTAAGTTATATTATTACTGGTGTTATATTCAAGATTACTGAACTAACTTAGCGAAATATTTCAATCTTCACTCTTTCGTTTTGGTTTTTTTGGGTTACGTGAACGACTCTTGGCCTTGCACAATGGACAAATAGGTGCATTACGGTGTATTTGTTGATGGCACGATAAACATGACTTCATTGGAGGTGGTTGTTGGCGAAATGCTGCTGGAGGTGCTTGTCTTTCAGAAACGGATATACTTGAGACACCAGAAGTTACTGATGAATGGGCAGAAGAAGGTCCTTGGAGGAGTCCAGGTCTTAAAGGAATCGAGGGTAATGTGGGCTTAAAAGGGGTGATTGAAGATGAATGGGAGTTGGTAGCGATTGATAATAAAGGCTTGTTCAATTGCTTGTCATTAGCTTCAAAGTCTCGATTAGAAGATTCATTGAGCTGATGTTTTTTGAATAATTCTAGTCTAATCTTTTCTTCCTCATCTTGGAGATCATTCAATAATCCCAAGCCAAGTCCAGATCTCATTTTATTAGCGTGATCCTTCAATTGTTGACATTCTATCAGCAAGCTTTTAGCCGTTGCTAAGTGTTGGCTATGTTCCTCATCACTTTCTTTGATGACATTTTCCATTTGATTCAGATCTGAATGGATCAATCTCAGTTCCTCTACATGGGCCGTTTTTTCTTGTTCAAGAAATTCTTTCTCCTTTCGATAGGCAAGCAAACATCTTTTTTCTGCCTCCATAGAGTCCATCTCTTGTTTCAAGCGTGATTTAATACTATTAAGTTCAAATGTTACATCTCTGATATTCAAAAAAAAGGAATTCAGAAAGTGACGTTATTGTATTAGCTAGATCAACATAAAAAAGAGTTACAAAAATAGCATTGGAGTACACTTACCGAAGCTCTTTCAAATATTCGAGTTTATTGATAGCAATCTCATCTTCTGATGAGATTGAATGGCCACTGGAAGTCATGATTGAGTCTTTATTAACTGTTGATGAATTTTAGGATAAATTAGTTAAGGTTTATTTGAATAAATACTTGGTTTTAAGTGAATGAAATAGTTATTTTGAAATGATGATGACAAATATCACACTTGTTACATAAATAACTGACTCAACTGAACGCTGAACAATCAAGTTTTTCTGCAATTTTTTAATAATACAACATAGATTAATGATAAATATGAGTTTTTAAAACAATCAAGTTTGGACTAAAGATTGAACCCGAAATTGACCAATACTTTGATGCAAAGCAGCTGACAATATGAGCATGACAAGGTTCCTCTGAATGTACATTTCAGTCCCTATTTCAAACCAACAATAATTTCAGAATGATTAATTTTATTTATCAGGTCTGGGCAGAAAGATGAAAAGTTTTAAATTAAAGTACAATTATCATGTTTTCATAAGAATCTTCTAGAAATTTAAGCCGATTTGTCATATCAATCGAACTACTTTTTGAGAGTAAGTTAATAAATATACGGTCCCTCCAATTGCCATTCCGCCATTTTTATGTTTCATGCTACATGTATTGGTAACTCAATGCACATTGTACTTAATTCTTAATTTTTTTAAATTGATTAACTGTTCAATTGTCCAATTTTTGGATTAAATTTGTGTCTCATCTTATCAATTAGTCATTCTATCATTTAATAAGTAAGTACTAACGTGTTAATAGTCTTTTCAAAATATTTTTGAAAATGTGTTTGTCGGTGTGGTTTTCATATTTAAATGGTCTGATGTCTCTTTCCATAGTCAGGCTTAAGCCAGTTTTTTGAAGATGTTTATTTTTTTAATTTGTGGTGTTCAATTAATTTTTAATTAGCTTTTTTTACCTTTTAATCTCTCGTTTTATCTTTTAGATTATTTCATTAACAATGGGGGACAGCGATGAAGAATATGATCGACGCCGAGTCAGAGACAAGTTTAAAAGAGAACGTAGTGATTACTCAGATAGGTACACCGGTAGTCGAGGTCGGGAAGATTATGCCGATACTAGAGATTCCGGTGGAGGTTGGGGAGCTAATTCCTCAGGTAGTCGAGATAGAATGAATAGAAGTGGCGGTGATGGACGCTACTCAAGTGACAGATATGGGAATCAGAGAAGGGACAGATATGGTAGTCCCGGTGACAGAAGTGATATGAGTCCTCCGATGAAAAGGGTTCGCAACACTCGTCCAGAATGGGAAGATAGAGGTAATTATCAATCATCAAATAATTTCGATTATTCTCATTCCGGTGGAGCTTGGAACCCACTTGATTCTGGATTAGCTCATACCCTATCTTCAGCAGCAGCCGCCGCCGCCGCTTTTAACTCTAATGCATCACCCGCTACTCATCAAAGGTATTTATCTGCATTTTATCTTGTATCTATGCCATTTCTTACTAAAAACAAATTTTATCTTTCGTTTAGCACTGGACCAACGCAACCACCTATGATGACCTTTAAACAATTTCTAGGTACACAAGATGACAGTGTTGATGACATGGAGGCTGTTAGGAAATATAATGATTATAAGACAGAATTCAAGAAACAACAGATATCAGACTTTTTCACAGCTCATAAAGAAGAAGAATGGTAAGAATAATAAGCCTGTTCCTTTTCTCCTTTTGTCATTGTCTATCTATTTTATGCTATCACTCACTTCCATGTTTTCGTGAGTGAGTACTTGGTTCGATCTTTCTTGTTCATGATATGAATTGAGATACCTATTTTCAACAGAGTCTCATCTTCACTTTTACATCTCATCATTTCTACATACCATTATTTTTTTAATGGATTTCACTCTTAATTCCTCTATCTCCTATGTTCCTTACTATTGAATTTTTTAAACTCACGCGCCTCCTTTCACTAGAACTAATTTTATACCACTTTTCCTATCTACAGCGGTTTGACTTATCGTCAATATAATTTACCAGGACAAGAATCTTATTTTATATTATCAGTGAATTTTATAAATTGTTTTTTTGATGTGTTTGCACATGGTTCAGAGAAACGTTTGAAAAGCATTTGTTTTATTTTGTTTAACATATTAAGTTATTTAAGTCAAGTTGTTGATCTCATCAGTTTAATAATCTACAATCAATCAATCAAATCGGAAGTTTCTTGAATTATAAACTAATGATTTACCCCACTTATAAACCCTTGAAACCTTCATATACACGCAAAATCCTTTCCTTCATGTGTCCAGTGAGCTTTTTCACTAAAAAAGTGTAAAGTTAGGCATCTCTGATATGCCTATTGGGTAAAACCTTCATCATTTTTATTTGTAAAAAGTTCGCCAAAAATCTTCTACTTCGATCTTCTGTCTCAAAAACAACAAAACTAAGTCATTTTCAATTTACAAAAAAAAATAATTTATTTTATTGTGAATATCGGGATGATGCTTAAAAATTGTCATCCTCCTTTATTATTTTCAACTCATCTGATCCTAATTGATTATGTTTATAGTTGTTGAATTTACAAATTTATAAATTCATATGTCAACTTATGACCATGAATATTTTTATAAAATATTGAAATAGTAGAAAAATATGTTTATTTTGTATTTGTGATTTTACATCGCGTAATGGGGTGAAAACACTCGACTAAGGTGAGCTTTGTGCATTTGCGCGTTCAATCCATCCATAATTTCAATTATTTAATATTCATCTTTATTTTTCAGCCCTCACTTTTTTAATGACGCATCTGCCTGATAAACTCTTTAAATTCAGTTGATTGAACTTATCAAGTGTTCTAATTCATCCTTTTCTTCTTTCTATCCGCTTATTCTTTTACTTTTTCTCAGGTTCAAGTCTAAATACCATCCTGACGAGTTCGGCAAGCGTAAAGAAGAGTCCCACCAAGCTCTTAAGAATAGATTAAATGTCTTTTTGGAACTTTACGAAAAAGGATGGGTCGATTCTGTTAGTATCGATGTTGAGAAGTCAGACCAGATAATTCGTTTATTAGATGCCGCTGTTATCAAACTAGAAGGAGGTACAGATTTTGACCTGAAAGCATTAGACGCAAAAAGTGATGCTCCAGAGGAAAAAGCGAAAGCATCAGATCTCGAAGTATTTTCTGTTGACGTTGAAAAACCTCCTCCTAAGACGAAGGAAGAAGGCGAAGAAGATGACGAAAATGAAAATGAAAGTGATAAAAAAGAAGAAGGAGAAACAGATGACAAACCTGAACCTAAAGAAGTCAAGGCAGAAGACAGTGAGGAAGCTAAAGTAAAAGCCGAACCTGTTGAAAGTTCAGAATCTGAGCCAGTCAAAAACTCGGATGAAAATATGGGAGAATGTGAAGATTCCAAGGAAAGTAAAATCGAGGTCAAGGCCGAGCCCTCTGAAGAAATGGAAGACGGTGAGGCATCTATGAGTAAAGAATTGTCAGAGCATGATCCAATGAAAGAGGAAGGTGAAGAAGACGATAGTGTCAATGAACCTGATGAAAAACCTGTTGACAAAGAGGAACCTGAGTCTGAAAAAATGGAAGAAAGTAATGAGGTGAAAAAAGATACAACCAATGAGACGGATGATAGTGAACCCAAACCGCGACCTCTTCATCTTAAAGATTCAATTTTCCTGCGCAATATTGCACCTAACATCACTAAAGCTGAAATAGAGGAGGTAAATTCATGATTTTTAATTTTGAAGCGCAAATTTTAACAAATTTCAAATTCATTTTTAGATATGCAAAAAGCACCCTGGATTCCTACGGGTTCATATTGCTGATCCTGCTGCAGACCGTAAATTTTATAGACGAGGATGGGTAACTTTTGAAAAATTGGGTAACATCCGAGAAATCTGTCTAGAAATGCTTAGTATTAAAGTGAGTAACAATGCTAACAAATTCATTTGAAATCGTTCATCACAATCATAATTAACTTTAAATTGTAATTTTTCCAAATTTCAGATAAAAGAATGTGAATTAGGAGCTATTGTGAATCGAGATTTAACTCGAAGAATTCGATCAGTCAATGGTATTGCCTCACATAAAAACGTAGTACGCGCTGATATCCGAAATGCAGCGAAAATAGTTTTCAATTTAGATCACCAAAGACGTATTTGGGATGATCCAGAAGAAAAGAAAGATTCAAATGAACCCAAGACCAAAGAAGAGGTTGCATTCGGATTCCAATCCTCTAACCCACTGCTTAAAAATATTGCTGATTATATGATTGAAGAAGCTAGCGCTGAAGAGGAAGAGCTATTAGGAGATCAAGCAGGTGAAGAAGAAGGAGAGGAAAGTCCAGGACAGTCACTAGAAAGAGATGAAAATCTTATAAAAGTTTTAGATCGTTTACTTTTATATCTTAGAATAGTCCACTCTGTTGATTATTATAATCACAGTGATTATCCAAATGAAGATGAGATGCCCAATCGTATTGGAATCATGCATGCTAGGGGTGCTCCTCCTTCAAGTAAAGTTACCTCACAGGAAATTAACGAGTATATTAAAGCCTTCGAGCAAAAGATCAAGCCTTATCTTCAACCTCCTGTCGTTATAACTGAAGAGGAAGCTATCAAGTTAGGTAAAAAAGAAGCAGAAAAGGAAGTCGAAGAGTTTATAAAACAAAATACCCATGAAATCGGTAAAGACAAGTGGCTTTGTCCGTTATCGGGTAAAAAGTTTAAGGGACCTGATTTTGTTAGGAAACATATTTTAAATAAGCATGAAGATAGATTACTACAAGTTAGAAAAGATGTTGACTATTTTAACAATTACCTGATGGATCCGAAGCGCCCTTCACTGCCTGAACACCCTTCAAATCGACCTGCTTCAGCCCAGACCGGTGGCGGTAAAAATGACAATTCTTCAATGGGATCCAATGGTCCTGCTTTAGCTACTAACACTTGGGCTCATCCCGCTGGTGCTTTCCCAGCCGCTCCTGGTTATCCAGGATTTCCTTTACGTGCTCAACTAGCTTTTGGTAATCCAATGGCTGCTTGGACAGCTCTAAGTCGAAACTATCAGCCCATGGGACCTAATATTGATTACACACGAGGAGGATCAAATCAAGCAGCCGCTGCCGCTGCTGCTGCTGCTGCCGCCGCATCTGCAGGAATAACCAGAAACCGCTATGGTGCTAGGTGAGTAACTCTAAGACCCGAACCTCCCGTTAAGCAAAAACAATCGTATAACTATTTAAAATGATCGGTTAGCTTATTGATGATCTAAATTAATCTGAAAACAACTTTTAGACATGATCCTCGGGAAGTTGTTGGATACGCAGATTTGGATGATAACCTGGAAATGATCTAGGAAAAAGGCTTCAAGAGTGATATTTCCATCGAGGGAAGATTATTGAAACACGTCAATGAAGAAGGATCGAAAGGGAAAATAAATCCAAAATGAGTAACTCATCTAAAATATGTTCTATTGATTCAACATAATAATCCGACATTAAAACTGAGCTATCAGTTGTTTTCAGATCGATTGAGATCTCTTTTCATTTTGCATTCAAATCAAATCTTTAACATAAAAAATGATTGTTGATTTTGTATCGACATTGACTAAATTAAAAATTGACCGAACGTTAATATTAACATTTTTGATGATGTTAATGTTTCAGAATAAAGACAAGAAACTATAGAGATCTCGACGCGCCTGACGATGACTGATAGGAAGACGCAACATCCATAAATTCATCATAATGATATTATAAAGTCCTTCATCAATTTTTTGCCCTGAGATCCAGCTTTTTTCCTTCTTCCTCCTTCCTCTTTTTCATGTTCATCCAACCTGAAAATTTTTAACATGAACCAAATATCAATATTAAACAATACCAACACCAAGACAAAAAAAACACTTCCAAATTTAGTTAAGAAGGAAAAATCTCCTCACTCAATGTATAATTGAAAATTTACTTTCACTACCTTTCCATCAATAATATCAAATCTTCCCTTACCGTGATCATCTTCATTGTTTCTTTCGTTCTATCTTGATAATCACTAAATTAACAATCGGATCATCTTATTAAATGCTAAAAAATTGAGAATAATAATAATAGGCAGCTTTTGCCACATGTACAACGATCATTTTGTCTGTTTATTAAAACCCAAAATTATTTAATCTCATTTTGGATATGATTCATTAAGCTACAAGATCTCTTTTCGAGATGCAAATTTATATTTACCATGCAAAAATAAATTTCCTCTATCTCTTGAAACTTATCCTTTATTTATCGAGAAAACTTGCACCAATTTTCTTTCCGAACTGTTAACGGCTCTATTGCGTTGTTGTATTGCGAAAAGAAAAATTTGTCGCTCGTTTTCTTCGCTTCTCTAACCCATTAGCCGGTCATAGTAACCTTTATCATTATTATTTACTTGATTTACTCCTTGCAATAATTTGCTACCTTTTAGAATCAATTTACAAGATTAAATCTAATTGCTGGTGATGTTCTCTTTCTTTTGTTTCTTTCTCTATTCTCTTTGCAGTGAACCTCTCCTACCCTCTTTGATGCAAATACTTAATAGAGGCAGTGGTAATGCTTCCAAATGAATGAATCATTCTCCACTCTTAACCCCTTCCAGTCATGCCAGTGACCAACAAATGAATCTTTCACTCTCTATCTCTTTCGCTCTCTTTCCCCCTTAAAACCAAATCAACCTTGCAAACTCATTTATTTGTAAATTTAATTTAAATACAAAATTGATATTACACTTATTATAAATACAAAAAAAAACAAAAAACAATAAATTACCAGCATTTAAACTTCATTTATTCAGGTAAGTCAAAAATCTAGTCGAAACTGAAACCCAATTTACCAAACAGTAAAATAACAAAACACTAGATGGCGCTATCAAAGTCTATACTTTTACCATAAAATTTTGTTCATTTTCAGTAAAAAAACATTATTTTTGCTTCTGTTCATCTTGAACTTGAAATTCAAAGACATTTCTCATAAAATGTTGTAATTAAAGCTAAATTATTGACTCATTGAATGCTCGACAAAATGAATCGCCAGTGATTATAGTTGTAAAGATACAATGAAACAGGAAATATCATTTTCATTTTGCTTTTCATTCCAATTAATTGAATGTATCCAAAGGGTAAATCATATCCATATTAGATCCGGTTTATATCAATTCAATTGATGGTCATTATTAAACACTGATTGGCATCAATAAAGCCTTTTTTGTCCCATTTATTCATTAAACTTGATGATCTCTTCATTTTCTGTTCAATTAAATGAAACAAAATGAAAAGGCCAATTTATTGAAGTTGACCGTTTTTAGTCAGTAATTGGTTTATTATTTATTTTAATTGTTTCCAATCTATTGAATTGATGTTAACCGTTTCATTCAATTGATAAAGCCCATCGAAAAGTAAATAGTTGATTAATTAGGTAATGAATAGAGAGTTGAAATAGATTAGATGAAAATGAAATTTTTGTCTTCATTTTGTGGCGTTTAATTTTTTAGGCTCAAGCCAAAGTCAAGTTTGCAAAATTATATGAAAAAGTAAAGGCAAAAATTTGAAATGAGCTCAACAAAATGAGCTTGGCTAAACTGTTTTAGTTTGTTTAACATTGTTAACATTAAAGTCTATTTTTATCCGCTTTTTAATTGAAATTATTTTCACTTCAACTCTCCATTTTTTTGCTTCTCTGCGAGTCTTTTGCTTACATTTTACATTCTCAACAATATTAACGGTTAACATCTTGCTTGCTATTTACAATTTTTTAACATTTAATCAAATGTAAATCAACATTCCAACATTGATCACAATTCAAAGGTTAAAAATCTGATTCTTTGAAAGCAAAAGGACAAGAAACCCGAAAATCTGCCAAAATTTGAGGAAATCGACAAAATTCTCAATTGTTTGCTTCTTAACTCCAAACATGAAAATGATACTTTCCTTGACCAACAACTCGATCTTATAAGATCATGATGAAGTGCTTATTACAGAAACTCTGGCTTTTCAACTTGAGTATCGAGTCATACATTAGCAGTGAACATAAAATAGCACAATCGATGTACCAGCAATTGAATCAGTCTTTGAATTAATCACTTGAAGACCCATCAAAGTTCATCTCCAAGTCTTGAAGTTAAATTGGTCAGTTGGTACTAAACCTTTCAAATATTGCGTGAAAAGGAAATTTGGTCAGAAATATTATTGTTTTTGGTGTAATGAAAATTGACTTGTGCGATGAAATCGGAGAGAAAATTAAAAAATTGTAAATTCCAAAAAAGTGATTTTGGAAAATCCATTGGAAGGCGAGTTTTTTTACAGATTATCAAAAGTTCATTGAGATTGAGTCGAAAACTGACATTTTCGATCATCAAAATCAACTCAAGCAATACGATTGCAATGAATGATTTTGGTGTATTTCCTTTAAAACTGATTGATTTGATCAAAAAATAAAGTTGATACAAAATTATCGGTAATCAAATATAAACAAATTTATGAAATGAAAAGATCGCTCAATGGTTATAATTTCAATTTATAGCTTATTTCCTGAGAATCAATCAGATCCAATCTCAATATTGTATTTTGTTTTCATTTGTCACAATATTAAGCTCGGGAAAGCACATTAAACTACACTCATGACTATTTTCCATGTTAATCAACTAAGATTTGATGAACAATTGGTTAATGAAGAAATCTTTATTCACAAATTTCTATCCAAATTAACGCGTTGAAGTGAGTTATAATATCAATTTGTAATTATACTCACAACCCTCATAAATAGAGTCAAATCATCGTGAATCATAACTAAAATGAATACTTTTGCACCAAGCTTTACGTCGATGCCTTTTTAAGAAAATTAAATGTTCTTTGGCCTATTGAACAGTGACGATTCGGTAAAACACAAAATCGGAAAAGTTGATTAAGATGATTACATGAACTCTTAATAAAGTTGTTACAAATTGCTCTGTCAAACAAAAGATGAAAACGGTAAAAGACGAGAAAATTGAAGACTTAACTTCGCTTTTGGTCATTTATGGACAGAACATTGGATTTAAATTTCATCTGAAATTTCAGTTGCGTCCAACTTTCCATTCCTCCTTCTTCCTTCATCCCTCACATAAAATCGCATCATATTGATATTCATCCTCCTTTTCCTTCTTCATTTCAATTGTGACCTTTCTTGATACCTTATCCACCCTCCAAGTAATTGTGCTCATTTAAGGTGTGAAATTAATAACAACACAATGACCGGTCAATATAAAGCGAGCAATGAAAGTCCAGTAAATAACAACAACAACAACAACAAGGAAAAGCAAAAAAGTGACAATCGTAGGAGGTTAAACGATAAAAAAGCTGAAAGCATTTGGAAGAGATTTGATTAAATTTGACCAGCTCGATCAATTGATAAAGACATAATTAGATGTCACTTAATCTCGTGTTGACCGCTCTGACTATAACCAGTGTAACTTCATCCACGCGTCAATCACACCAGGAGAAGTGAACAAAGTGAGTCCCGATAAAGAAGAGGAAGCAAAAGCGCTGACCGAAGAAGACGCATAAACAAGGAGCAAAAAAAGGCAAAAAATTTTCTTGAAAAAAAACCTCTTGTTGTATAACTGTAAATAAAAGTAAAAAAGGCGGAAGAGAAAAATTGATTTCCTTTTCACCTTCAACTGGTCACTTTCCTTATCCATGTATTTCATTATTATAAATTATGTGATTATAAAGGTGGTTAAAAGGTCGTCTTTACACACCTCTTTACAGACCTTTCATTGTCCAAGTCAAGGCGAGAGACTGCAAGTAAAAAAGAATCACAATCATCCCAAAAATCATACTCATCATAAATGTCCATTGACAGGGTCTCTTTACGTATCAATACATAATGTCCATTCAAAGTGTGTGCCCAGTTATTACAAAGATTATCATTATTATGATGATTAACCATTGTAATCATTAAACGCTGGGAGTGATAAAAAGTGAGAGATCAAAATTTGTAGCAAAGATGAATGTAACACCAAAAAACGCAAGCTTGTCATCAACTTCACTGGCCAGTTGAAATCTTTAAATTGGTCATTTTCTGTTCTTTTTCATTCAACTTTTTTGTGTTCCATGAATTATTTCCTATCAATATTACCATCCATATTATCATCATTATCATCAACTTTATTATCATTATTATAATCGTTTAGCATTATCCTGACCAATGATTTATTTATTGACATGGAATCTTACTGTTTATTTAATTCAGTCTGTTTCTCATTCAAATAGTTGGAAAAACGTTTCCCGAACAAAATACGTTTTCTTCCCTTCCATTGACCTTGTCCTTGGGTCAGTTTTGGCCTGTTATTTGGCTTCTTCCAATCTCGTTGTTTGGCTTAAATTGTCCGTTCAGTTAAACTGTTTTTTCTTTGCCTTTTTTGGGCCTTTTTTTGCTGCCTAAATTTCAATATTTATAATACTTGATTCATCAAATTGTGAGGGAGTAATTTTTGTCTGTAGCTTCAACTGACCAAAGGAAATGGAAAGTTAAAATGTAATAGCAGCAAAAATCAATGTTTGCATTTATATCTATTTATATTTATAGATTATTATCATTACTATTATCATTATCATTGTTATTATCATTAATATTATTGAATGTATATTTGTGTGTGTGTGTTTGTTTCTCACCATAAATCAATGTAATACATTGAATCTGTGGTCATCATTGTACATTTGAAAAGTTGCCTTTTACTCTTTTTTTTGACATTCATTTTCAACTGATTCAAGTTAACAGTTGCTCCAATAAATTCAACAGTTTTTTTTGCCTTCAAGTTAATCATTGTTCATGTATTGAAACCATTAGATGACAATATTGTACATTACTGGGACATTTTGGGCAACCTTTTCATTAACATTGTGTAGGATAATTTGAGTTGATTAAAATTAATACTCTTCATCTGTTAACATTGATTTTTCGTCCTTTTTGGTTACATTTCATGTAACTTCAATTGTATCACTTTACGTTTACCTCTTGACATGTGGAAACGATGAAAATTGATTAACATATGATAAACATTAACATTGTTATTACATTTTCAAGACAAGTTTTAGTTACAATTTATATCATCATTTTTTTCACCCTTTTTTTGGCTCGCTCTGTATTGCTTTACATATTGTTACGAATCTGTTTGTAATAAACAGTAATAATGATGAAAATAATGATCAACATAATAATGATGGTAATAGTGATGGTAATCACTTGACATAAAAAAGTAATCAACAGTTTAACATTGATTTTGATTGAATATCTTGCTTTTTTGTGCGCTAAGTGTGTGTGTGTGTTTGTATATTAATACAATACTTGTTTAGATGTTTAAAAAATGGTAGGAAGAGCGATCAAGATGAAAATAATAGCTATAATATACGGTAAAGATTCATCCATCATTTATCACATTGTTAACCATGTTGATATACACTCATTTTACGGTGACCTTTTAGCCCCTACGTCACTCAACTTGATGGATACAGTTTACATTCAAGCTTCTTGCCTTTCTCAACTTGCCTTAAACTTTACCCTTGTATTATGCATAAATACAATATTTATATATTGGTTAAACCTCTTACTGATGACTTTTGAGGTTGTCTCAGGTTTAGTTACCAATAAAGGTATCAAAAAATTAACAATTGTTTCAAATGAAACAAATGAAACTGTTTCAAATCAATCAAAGTGTAAAGTTTAAGGCAAATTTCAAGAGGTCATCCATAAAGGTTTGTCACTTGGCTTGGCGATCTTGACAGTCACAACTTGACTTGGTATTGTTGGTGGTGTTGGATGATCAAATCTCTCTTGGTTTGGATAAAATTACAGTTGCTTGAATCTGGTCATGTTCAGCCTTTTTTTTCCTCTCTTGGTGTAAATTGTTTTGCGTTTTCATTTAGCCTCCTTAATCAAATTAACTTGAACCTGGAGAAAAGGAGAAGACAAAAGCATTAGTTGTATTTGGTTAAAAAGATGTTGATGTTGATGAAAATGATGATGATAGAGATAATTGAACTTTGAAAATGATGAACAAAAGTAATGAGAAAACAAGTTGATACAAATATTTTTGCCTTATTTAATCAGCAATTGTGTTGATCATTTTCTCATCATAACCAGTTAACTGGTAAAGTCAACATCAGTTAACAATAAAACAGTAAGTTGATAACTATGTGAAGTAAATATGACCAAAAAGTAAGCATTTATATAGATAAATACATATAGATATAATTAATAATTTAATAAACACTTTTGTCAAAGTTAAACAAATACTACAAGAAGCAAATAATAATCATTTTGAGGACTTTTTGTTAATTTGTCTTCTCTTTTTTGCTTTTCCTCAACACTTTCCTCTTTAACCCTTTTTCTTTGCTTGTTCATTGTTTCTTGCCTTATAATTATTATCATGAAAGCTTGTTATTAGATCTCATCAACTCATGTTAACTCAAATAATAATTGGCGTCCAACCAATTGTTCAAATTAAAAACCAACAATTGACACCAAACATTGACAAAAGTGTAAAATACAATCAACTAACAGACGAGAAGAGAAAGGAACCATTTCTCTGTCAACAATAAACAACTGAAAAACAGCGAGAACATCAAAATAACGCTTCTATAACAGTAATCAGTTTGGTGTAAGTAAAATGTGTGTTTCACAATAATAACACACACAGCAAATGGACAAAAAATGTACACAAAATGTATGCAAAAAGGAGCAAAAAAGCAGTGAACAAGAAGATGATAATGAGAGAAGAGTAAAAAGAGTTAAAGAGATGAAGCAAAAAAGAAAGTAAAAAGGGAAAGAGAAGAGAGAAAAAAAGAGGCAAAGCAGATGGCCTTAAGACTTTCTACATGTAACCTCGAGATTTAACCCCTTTCTCCAATCACTGTATTGACCAATGGTCAGTTTTTACTCCCCTTCTACTTCTTTCTCTACTTTTTTTTGGCCAGGTTTCTAATGACATATGCATCAACAAGATGAACATGAAGCAGAGCACAAAAAAGAGTAGGAATAAAAAGCATAAACGAGTTAGAAGATGTTGAAGATGAAAAAAGGGTTCGTCCTCTTGGGCATTATTTTATCATGATGATGTTGTTGATGATGAAGTAAAGAGGGGCATTGGGAGTGAGAAAGGAATGGAAAATAACAGGGATTTCATCTTAATATTTATGATAATAATAATAATAATATTGAAGTTCACTTAGCGGAATATTTTGATGTTTCCAGAGCATTTGATTGCATATTATTTCCTGATATTGTTGCCTCTCTTTTATCATATTTTTGTTTATTCATTTACTAAACATTGTGATAAACCTTTCACTTTTTTTTGGCTAACTCAATGCTCTGTGTTACCTCTCTCTCTATCTTTACAGTTGAAGCATGTCTTTTTTTATCTTCCTCATCATCATTATTATTATTATCGTTTAATCAAGATGATATTGTTCAACAATAATGATACCAATAATAATGATAATAGTGGTAAAAAAGTGGAATAATTTTTAGCTTGAGCTTTCTTCTTCTTTTCACTCCTTTATACTATTTTTACCACTAGATCATCATTTTTGTTATCACCACCATCATCATCATATCTTCTAATTAACATCTAGTTGTCCAGGAGATGCTTCAATACTTTCTCATTAAGAAAAGATTCTTGTTTTTCCATTTGAACCTCAACCTGATTCATTGATGTCCAATTATCGCATCTCCCACTTTGATTAGATTCCGGTGAGAGCCAACGAACAGTTTTTTTTCCCAATATATTACAACTTTGTTTTGCTTTCTGGTTCATCTTTTTGTTTGTCTGGTCCTAACCATTAACTTTAACATTTCACTTGGTCACTTGTTTTTCATCTCCAAACAATCAAATAGGTAAAGTCGTTATTTCTCTCTCCTTTTGGTTAGTCCATTGTGGGTGGAAAGTTGCTCTTGATGATGGTCCATATAAAGAAAGGGGATAAATAAAGTGAACATGACATTGACCATTTCATTTTCCATCACAATTTTAACCGCAAAAAATGGGTCAACATATTGTCTATTAATATTGGTTGATGAAATTTATGATTTGCATATTCTTTGCAGCGTTTCATATTTCTTGGTGACTTTACTCTTTCTTTCTTGTTGATTTTCTTGTTATAAAGCTTTATCTTTCATTGTTGATTTATAATGATAATAATTGTTATAATAATAACAATAATAGTTGATGATAAAGATGATAATGGTAATGATAATAGTATTTATAAGTCTCTTCTTCGTCTTCTCCGCCATTATATCCTTTCCATACGCATATACTTATACACATTTATGTGGTTCTCTCCATTTTTTTTCATTCCCTTTCCTGTCATCGATATGCTTTTTTCAATATGTATTTTCATCATTTTACTGGCCAACATTTTCTTTTTTCTCTCTCGTCCATTGGATTCATCCTTTTATCTTGATCATCTCTCTCTTGGTCATTGGAACTCGGTCCTTTATCCAGGTTACCTCCTTTCCATTTTTCATATATTAAAACATTCATATATATGTATTAATATGATGGCTCTCAACATTTGATGATGGAGTCTGAAAGAGAAAAATAAAAGAGGGAGAGAAGAAAAAAGTAACTCGTTAATATTACTGTTGTTATTATTTGATCAATGGGTTAAAATTGATATTCATTCATTCATATTTCTTATGACTTCTTTTTATTTCTAGTTTTTAGGCTGTTGATGGCTTTACATTGTATTACTTTCTCACTTTCATCAAATTGTGTATCTTTTGGTTTTGGGAAAAGCTTTTTGTTATATATTATTGCTAATATCACACGGAAAGAAGGATAAAATTAGGAATAAAAACTTTCTTTTACTATTAAATTACTTTGCTCAATGTAGCTATTATTGAATGATGAATTCAAGTTGACCGCTTTGTCTACCAATTTCATGTCTTTTTTCAGTTTCCATTTTTCTAGCGATAGAAAAGAGATGAAGAAGTTTGTTCTGAATAAAAGCAAAAACAATTTCAATTCTACTAAAGGCAACATTTTGATAAACTTAAACAAATCAATCAGCTCTAGTTGCAATGCTATCAATAGTCTGGACAATGTTTCATTTAAAATGGAGCCTAGAGGATAATCAATACTCAACTCACCTATGAAAAGCCATTCCGTTAATAACGTCAATACGATTGATTCTGAAAGGATTTTAAAGATAAAAAGGATTAGAATCTGAAATTTTTTACTCACATCTTGTTAAAAATCAAAAATCAAAAGACTAAAATCGGTTGAATTAGTTGGGAAAAGGTCATATGAATATCTTGAGTGAGAAATGATTCTATTTGGTTTGCTTTGGTTTGACCATTCAATTTTTAAGCTATCAAATTATTCAAATATTAATGATCTCTAGTCAAAATTTGTGAAATATTGTTTCCTATTTTCCACTTTTTGTTGAAAACCTTTCGGCCCTTTACACTTAAAAAAGAGGATTAATAACTCTTGTTTGCTTTTACTTGAAAAAGATTCTCAAAATGACTCTGAACCAACATACCTTTGTTCCTTAATTTTTAACAATCAGTCATTAAGAAGGTGATTTAGCCCAGGGTGCAAGTGTCACATCTCAATAGTCTCCAATATTTAACCAGAAGTTAGCTTTTAAATGGTTCAACTGAAAAGCGGCCCTGAAAAAAAAAGATAAATGGCAACATAAATATGTTTTAGAAAAACTGAAAAGTCTACTTTAAGAAAAACAAATAAATAAACGCAAAACTTACCTGAGTTGACCAGTGCCATTAAAGTCTAATTAATAATCATAAATTAAGAAGTTAAACCTTGAAAATATCACACTAATTAACTGTTTCATTACCAAAAAAAATCCATGACAACAAAAAGCGAGGGAAAACTACCCAATTAACAATTAGCGCGTCTTTCAAAGATTATTCAAAGAGCGTATAATTTTACCTTTGACACATTTTAAATTGTAAAATATAGTAAATTAAAGTATTGGGAATTGAATATCAACAAATTTTAGCTGCGAAATGAAAAGGCCAAAGTTCCGTTACAAATAATAGTTTCTGAAGATCAGTCATGATCGGGGGCTCTCATAACGCTCAAAATGTGTTGAGCTTTAGCCGAGGTGTTAATTTATGTCATCATTTTTCACTCGTTTTTTATTTTTTCTTTGTATTTAGCTGCTCCTAAATGGATATTAAAACCATTGGAAAGATATTCAACTATACGTGGTTCAAAAGTTTTGATGAATTGCCAGGCTGATTGGAATCTTCAGCTTCAAATGAGTTAATTGGTGTCGTCAGTGGACCTCATATCCATGTTTCAGAGAATGGTTCGCTGGTTATAATTGATTCCACTGAAGCTGATGAAGGTGATTATGTTTACGACGACGGGTTGTCTACGATTAGCAGGTATTCTTGGTAGCAATGGTGTCAATGGGATGAAAATTGGGCGAGAATTGATTCCTTCAAGTTCACATCATTCATTTTTATCATCATCGAGATTTCAAATTAATCAAGATGTTAATGGAAACAGAGTAATATCCCATGTAACCCTAGATTCCCCTCTTGTAGAAGATTCAGGTACATTTATTTGTACTGCCAGCAACTCTTATGGTAAAGCTGAGAAAACAGTTCATTTGATTGTCCAAGGTCCACCTCGATCTCCGCGCAATTTAAGATCAGTTGAAGTAGCAAGTCGTGATATAACCATTGTTTGGGAAGCTCCTGATGATGGTAATAGTCCTATTCTTGATTATCTAATACAATATACATACAATAATGGTGCGTTTATTAAGTGAACATTTCTTCTTCTTCTATTATATTTTTCTTGTTTGTATTAAACTCAAAACCCTTAAACACAGTCAAACTGTCATGATTCAAAATTAAAATAAATTTTCCCAATACATTTACACTAAACTTATTGTACCAAGTAAACCTTGATATAATTGACCGTCAAATTAACGTTAAAATCATCATGTTAACAAATAAAAAGGTTAAAAATTGTGAACAAAAAAGGACAGTAATAACAGTTATCCAAGATTTCAAGCCTTTCAACCCATTCATTGTAAAATGGCTGTAATTGAGACAGCAATTTTGGTTTTCACATTAGCACAAGCAATAAAAGTAAAAGTGGAACCAAAAACTGGATAAAGTACAATTTAGCCTAAAGACAAGAGCAACAAAAAAAAGGTTTCCAAAAATTCATAAATAGTCATGTAAAAATGTATATTTTATTTATGGTTTACTTTATAGCCCAAGCAACAATAGCAACCTTAACAAGCGCATTTTTCAAAAAATGAAGATAAAAAGTTAAAATGAATTAAATGTTATCATCAAAGCAGGTAAGCGAACACTTGAACCACAATTTAGCCAAATTAGACACTAAAAAAACCTTTGTCAACCAACAACAAAAAAAACGGTCAAAATTGATAAACAATAATGTGTTGGCCTCATCATTATCACCATAAGCTGGTTTACCTTGGCGAGTGGATTCTTTAAATGCTATAAAAGGGTTTGGAAAGGTTTGAAAGGAAGAAGCTAAAGATGATGAAGATATGAATAAGTAAAAAAAGAGGAAGAAGAAGAAGAAGAAATAGCGACAAAAAAGACATTTCCAGCAAAAAATGATGACCATTATGCTAAGAAAACAGTTTTTTGGTCATCTTAAGAAGGAAGAAGAAAGAAGACAAAAAATGCTTTTCAACTCTTTCACTTTTCGCTTTACTTTCCCTTCCCAATTGTAACCATAATTTACTTTCCGCTCAACCAGCTTTTACCATCTCAAGTCTCACTCTCTTCACTTTCTCTCTCTCTCTCTCTCTCTTTCCGCTTTCCCTTTGACCCTTGGTCAGTCCACAATCCTTTCAGTAAAAGGTCAAAGGCAGCTCGTGCTTTAAACTCAGCTCGTGCAACAAACGTTACTATTTGTATGCTATTTTCAACCTTCCCTCTTCCCTCTTCCTCCTGTCCAACTATCGATCCTTGTCTTATAGTCTTGACCATTGTTGCCATTTTCATCACAAAAATATGTTATTACTTCAGTTACATCAGAACTTACTTTTTACTCCCTTCCTCCTCCTACTCATCATAATCTTTATACTTATCTTCATCTCTTTTTTGGGCTAAAATGAGTAAATCTCAAGCGAAACCTTTACCTCAATATCTTTCTATAACTATATTTGATCTTCATCTTCACTCTTTTTTTTTCTTGGCCTCATCTTCATCTCACAAAAAGAGCTTAATCTCCTTTGGGAAACCCAATGCAACTGACCATTGGATAAAACCATAGTCCAATTGTTTTTGATTAGAGCCTAAAACTTGTTATCCTTTTATTTCTTTAATATCAACGATCTTCTTTAATATATAAAAGGAAAGAAGAAGATGAAGAAGATGAATAAGAAATAACAGACTTTTCCTTTTTTTTGCATCTTTTTTCATCTTCACATCTAAAGAGGTAACATGAAAAGTTGAAGCAAATATATTGCCCATGAGATGAACATTGAACAAAGAGTCTGAGCAATAATAAAAAGGAGAGATGTAAAAAGAAGAGGATGAAGATGAGAAAAAAAGAGAAGGAAGAAAGCAAAAAGATTTCATCCTTGGGTCCTATAAATTTATATCAGGTAAAATGATGATAAAAGTGATGAGGAAAGAAGAAGAGTTTATCCTCATCAAGTGCAACACCCAATCATCACTATTCTTGTCCTCAGCATCTTCATCTTTTTTCCTTCAGCCAATAAGTAAATCTTGTCCATTCTCACCATTCCTCTATATTCATCATTTTCATCACCATTTCCATCATGCTCATCATCTTCAAATAAAGATGTTCATTTTTTCTCCCAATGGAACCCAAGATTGACATTTACCAACCATTTCCATCTGTACCTGGAACAATGGGAAAAGGCTGAGAAAAGTATGGAAATTCAATTTTCATTCAATGAACACATTATGATAATCAAGTGTTCAGAACTGATGAAACACAAAAAAGAAGATGTTTGATCAGAAGAATGCAAAAAAAGCAATAAATGACTTTTACTCTTGAAAGTGATTCACTTGATTTACATTTTATTAATAACTATAAAGAGCCTCTTGTTATTGTCTTTTGTTTCATCCCTTTCCTTGTCTTCATCCTCATCACCCCATCATTGACTGATCAACCAAATAAAGTTTGATATAATAATAATGACCATTCCAATGATTCCAATAACAATGAGTTTTTCTTGGTAAAACTCTTTTTATTTTTTCTCTCTTCTTTTCCCAATTTCTTGTTATCCTTTTTCCCTGTAACAGACAATTGTCACACATGATGAGACGAGTTTCAGTCTGAATAAAGATTAAGGTTGGACAAAAGTCATCCAATCAACTGGCCATCATCTCTCATCAACAATTAAAAACTTGAACACTTGACCAGAAAACTTTAATAACCTTTAACCAGATGACCATTAATAATGCAATGTTATTAAAAAGATGAAAGAGTGAAGAAAAAGAAAATGGAAAAAATTTTTCATCAAAAAATTGAATCTTCATCATCTCTGAATAACACAAACATGAAACAAGTTACATTGTCCAACACCAATTTTGATGAAACACCGTAAACATAAATATAATTAGATTACGAACATTCGACTTTTTTTCTCTCATCTTCCTCATCTTTTCTCATCCTTTTCTCTCTTCTAATAATGAAAATAATAAGCATCTCAATTTACTCGGAATGAATGAGAAGCTAAGAGGATGAAGAAGAAAAGTGAAGCAAAATGATAAAGATGAAAGAGTTAACATGAACATACAAGAGATGATGCTTTGTTTGCCTTCTACTTTCATCTCTTTTTTTCTTCTTCTTCTTCTGCTTCATCCTCATCATAATCAATCGATAAACATAAAGCAAGCTTGTCAAATGAAAGCAAAAAGCATAAACACGTTCATTATGTGTGTTTGTAATGAAATTTTTTTTCTTCTCCTTCTCTTTTTTTCTTCCTTCTCTTGGTCAACATTTTGTCAATCGTAACCCTTTTTATGTTACCTTCAACATTTAATAAGTGTCCAACTCATTTAATCATATTGATGCTTCACCAACTTGTCAAACTTCAACCCAACCCAAAGTTAATATTGAATGTTATTACAGAAGAATACATTTTTTACGCTAAGGGAAACTCTCATTGTATCTAGTTTCGGGATAAAAAGATCGCAAAATTTTCTCAACACATTCTTTCGCCATCTTCCATCCAATCTCGAGTTTACCTTTAGACCGATGCGAAAGGTTCGAAGCAAAGGGTCGATCCAATGCGTCTTTAGATACAACCTTATAGAGTTGAGGCCAAAAGGTGAAAACTGTTACTCTTCAAATTTGACTTTTGTCTTTGCTTTTCATTTCATTTTAAAATCTAATGAAATGGAAAAAAATTTTGTCTAATTTTTGAAACTTTGAAACTTCATTTGATTCGATAGCTATTTGACTGTTGCTACAACAATATGATTTAAGTCGATGAAACGCATTAAACTTTTAATGTTAGAATCAAATAAACTGTTAGAAACATAAAAGTCTAACAATTGAACCTGAATACGATGCAAAACTTTTGCTTGAAAATAACGATTTGAATAATTTCTAGATTAGCTGATCATCAACCTTATTGATTGAGTATCGAAACAATTAATAAGCAAGAAAAGTTGCCAATATTGGCCAAGAAAGATAATAAGATGATGGCAACGGAATAGGTAACTTAATATGTTCATCTCATTTACATGAAATGATAAATGTAAAGCTTAACCAAGTCAAGATGAAACTATATTTGGAATAATTCATTTTATTATTTGTAAATGTTACCAAAAAAGACGAGAAGAAGATAATGTTTTTGTTGATGATGATGATGAGCATGATGAAGAAGAGTGTAAAAAGTTATTCAAAAAAGATGTACAAAGAGAGAGCAAAAGAAATGCAGAAAAACTGAAGACTGAAAGGTCTTAAAAGATGAAAAGAAAGTGAGACTTTTTGTTGAGCTTGCGAATGAATTATGAGTGTTGACTCGCGCGCGTTTCTGTTGTTAAAATTAGCCTCTCAAACTCGTGGTAACTTTGTTTTTTTGTTTCTTTCTTTTCTTTCTTTTTCAAAGCTCTCTTCCTCATAACAACATAAACCTATCCTCTTCCATATGCTGGATATCATCAACAACAGTAAATAAGTATGTACAGTAAGAATAAAAAAAGAGTAAAAAAGGAACAAATTATTACTCTTTTTGCATCTCTTAAGACGATGATGATAAAGATGATGGAGCAGCTTCAAGGCATGAAAATGAATAAACAATCAATGAAAAAATGTAACCAGAAAAGTTGATTTATCTGCAAAAAAGGAAAACTTTGAACAAAACTTTTTTTTACTTTCAATGTTTTTGTTTGTTTTTTTAAAGCAACAGCTTCCTTTACGATCGTTATCACAAATGACCTGGAAACTTGAAATTTGTAGCAATTTTTTAACTTTTTTACAAACAAATGAACCATTTGAATGATTCCGTAAATCATGTTTTGCTGATTTGAGCACAAAAAAGTTGATTAACTTGTGCAGCAAGAAACAAAAAAAACAGTTAATCAACAGTTTGGTAATTTATTGGATCAGTGAGCAAAAAAGTGTTTCAGTTATTCCTGAGAATGATCATGAAAAGTATCCAAAACAGAGAAGCAATAACAATAATCAATCAAAGTGTGCAAAAACAAAGCCGAATGAAGGGAAATACAAAAATACAAAAAAAAGAGTTGAAAGGTAAAGTGAATGGTAATGTTGAATAATGTTTCTCAGTTTTAACCCAAAATTATGTTACTTTTTGCTCTTCTCTTCATTTTTCTGGTTTTCACTTTTTTTCCGTCTTCTCTGTGTGTCCATTTTGAACATATGGAGAGTCTGGACAAACAAAGCCATGAAAAAAAGCTAATTTTAACAACAACAATCATAATTCATTGAAACCTTTACAAACCTTTCTCACATATCTGATTGGCAATCAATTTTTTCAAATGTTTATTACTTTTGTTAATCAATGCGACCAACGGTCAGTCACTGTTATAATTTGTAGTTTCGCTTTTATATAATCAATAACAAGTAAAGAAACAAAAAGCAAAATCAATTACAATTTTCATCTTCCATCAACTGTTTCCTTTCACCCAAACTATTAGTTTGAAAATTAATAACCTTGACCATTACAAAGACACAAAAAAGGACTTTTCCAATGTTGG